ATAACATCTTAACTTTGTTCGTGTAACATCATATTCTTGTAAAGGATAAATAAATTCAGTGTGAATTAAAATAGACTTTTTTGTTTATAAACTACAAAACTGCTCACCGCGTATTACGGTACTATGGGAATCATAGACTGGTTTACATACTTACATAGGTATATAGGTTCAAATATTATGTAACTATATTAAGAAATTAAGCACTCAAAAAAAAAACAGTAGATAAGGGAAACTAGCCCACGACCCTCGTAGATTGAGGTAACAGCTACGTAGTGCTAAGTTCGGGGTCAACTATTTTGACTAATCAATAATTACATAATCAATATAACCAAAATAATCGGATCAAATATTGCCATTCAAATTAACCTTCTGGCTCTGACATGAATTTCATTCGTCGATGTTACATAACACTGCATTCATAGATTATACACTTAATATATTACTGCATTTGTGTGTCAACATTTTCTTCGTTAGACGAAACTAAAAAGAGTCCTACATAATTGACAAGTCAGAGCCACCGTTGCCAAAAAGTGTGTATTTAAATATAACATAATAAATAAATGATACAATAGCATAGTGACTTCCACCTCAGCATTCGTAGATAATACACATAAATTGGACAAAGATAAGCAACTCAAGCACTTAACAAAAATGTTTACGGGCGTCGGCAACTAGATGGCTTCGCTTCGATTAGTTTCTCATTGCTCCTGTAGATATTAACATATTAAATATCCTATATTTTATTTTTAGTGAAGTATTTTGTAAATTTTCCGAATCCACAAATTGGTAACATTTAACCAATTTGTCTATAACAAATGAAGACTTGTATGATTTATAATTTTTTTAATTTTCTGTGTTTAGGTATACAATAATGAAATGCCTTAACTGTAACAACATATAAGCTTAGGCGCATCCGTTACAAGATGACGATAGTTTCCATACAAAAATATATTTGACTCAAAGTATCGCAGCTCAGGGCCCTGATTCGTGTTCTCATATATCTATTGATTTTATAACGGTACCCATTTAACTCCAAATAAAAAAAGGTAGCCCGTGAGCTAACCCAACCACGTAATAAAAAAAAGAAGTTAAAATCGCCTGTCATTCAACATCGACGGCTGTAAAATACTTTTTGTCCTTTTTTTCTATACACCCATTCACAATACAATCAGTCGTATTATTCTTAGTAGAACTTAAATTAAAATTCACAATTGTACTATGTATAAACATTAAAGATGTAGTCGTTTCAATTTGTTTGAATATTTACACGCTTCTGTACAAAAGGCTGCGCGTGAATCATGACTCAATATTATTTTTAAATCAGACATTAAGTGTTACATTTGATCTACTCAGTCTGTATTTAAGTAGGTGCTTCAACTCGTAGCCTAGTGGAATTTGTTTCTCTCGTATTATTTATTATTATTATTATTATAGTTGTTTCTCTCGTATAAGATATCGCAAGTTCGAATCTAGGTATTTTAATATTGCTCTGAAACACTTGACGTGAAAGTCGTCGTGGCCTAAAGGATAAGACGTCCGGTGCATTCGTATGTAGCGATGCATCGGTGTTCGAATCCCGCAGGCGATTACCAATTTTTCTAATGAAATACGTACTAAATAAATGTTCACGATTGACTTCCACGGTGAAGGAATAACATCGTGTAATAAAAATCAAACCCGCAAAAATTATAATTTGCGTAATTACTGGTGGTAGGACCTCTTGTGAGTCCGCACGGGTAGGTACCACCGCCCTGCCTATTTCTGCAGTGAAGCAGTAATGCGTTTCGGTTTGAAGGGTGGGGCAGCCGTTGTAACTACATATACTGAGACCTTAGAACTTATATCTCTTAAGGTGGGTGGCGCATTTACGTTATAGATATATATGGGCTCCAGTAACCACTTATCACCAGGTGAGCTGTGAGCTCGTCCACCCATCTAAGCAATAAAAATAAAAATGAGTTTTAGGTTGATAGATAGGTACTGTGAAGGCAATGGTTAATTTTTACGGACACAAGCTACGTGAGGATTTTATAAATTCGATTTCATTTGAAACTTTCACTAGTTAAAATGATTTTTTCAATGAAATGACGATAATGATTGATAATGGAAGAATAATAATTTAATAATGATTCAAATAATATATTTTATTTTGTGTTTGTGGGATTAAGAGGCAGAATAGGAGAACTATCTCCGAGTAAGGTTGTACAATTAGACATTATTTGAAGGTTAGGTTTTTAAAGTAACATTATAATTTTCTGTATTTTAAGCCTCTCCGGATCAAAAACGAATGAGACAATGTACCGTTGTGAATTGAAACGTAATAAATAAAAAGGTCATATTAAAAAAACACAAATATATATGTACTCTAGAATTGAGAATGCGACAGACCTATTAACTATATATTAGACAGGATGTTCCTAAAAGTTTCAAATCCACCGCGTGTGCATTATACGCGTTCTTAAATATTACTTAAAATTCAAATAGCTTAAGAAAAACTGGCTGATGACGAACAAAAATTAGGTAATTTTCGTTAATTTAGAAGAACACATATTCCCGCGTTAATTCAGATGTTACAGCGATAAATATTTCAAAAATTGGGTTTCGAGGAAGTGACGGAAATACTTGGGTTGGACTAAGCGCAGTTTGCAGTTCTTTTTTTCCCCCCTACCTAATCGTTGGTAATCTAAGGGGCTATTCCAACTTCACGCGGACTGGTAAATGAAAATATAGTTCTATACCCCGGTGAACATATTTTTTGTTTTTTTTTGTCCACTGTTAGACCGTAAGCCCCTTTGCCGTAAAGGCAAGTGATCCACTGTGCACCGGCATTAGAAATGTGACAGCCTAACTAAATGAGATGCAAACCTTTATCAACGCGTTGATTCTTATTGTTTAAATTACACGTTAAATTATATTTATCGGAAAAAACGTATTCGGCAGAACTTACGGTTGGTGATGAAGTTCAGGCACTTATTGATTACCAATTATGTGACTAAAGAGATTCAAAACTCCTGGTATTAAAAAAAAGAAGTGTGTTGTCGTGGGACACCGGATAGGAACGAAGTTCCTTATTATAAAAATATTAATTTAAAGTTCTATTCGAGGTTTAAAGAAAATAAAACTGGAGGTTTCGCAACAACGCACTGTCATTCGGTAACGTGCGAACTTATTGTGGTACATACACTTCATTCACGGTTGTTTGCATAAGAGTTAGTGTATTGCGCAAACGAAAGCTCTGAGATCGTGGTCAATGAATGTTAAAAAAATATGGTATTTTTTGTACGTTATTACAAAGTTAACTCGTATACTGTGTTCATTAATTACTAATTTGCACGTTATGACAAAGTTAAGTCGTATACTGTGTGCATTACTAATAAAAATTTTACGTTACGGACTTTTTTCCCGGTTAGAGTACCCCTTCGCATCGTCAAATAAGGAACGTCGTTCCAAAAAAAAAAAACACTACAGAAAATGGTGTATTGAATTACATGACCTATCTTTCACAAATATACAGACTCCAACTGAACTTCGTCGGACAGTAAACAGTCTATATCGTGAAATACCAGAACAACACACAATAATACATATCGTTTGGGTTTTCCCGATATGAATGATCTCAGTTTTTCCAAGACAGCGCTATTAGATTAATTTGATTCAAGTTTGGAGATCTTGATTATGTTTAGGCACTAGTCACGTGTGTTGTTGTGTTGTTACATTTGTTTGATTTTAAAATCAAATTATTCATTAATTGTTTTCCATTTAAATACTTTTTATGAAGAAATTGAAACTAACCTGCTGGTTCGTGACAAATCAATTCAACAAAATTAATTTCAACGTGATAGATAGGGGGTTTGGAAAAAATTGAAAATAATAATATAATAGTTAATATTAATTTAGAGATAATATAGCTAATATAACAAAAAATATAGTTAAACTTTATTTTGAAGTGAAAAGTTCTTTAGAATCGTTGTGATTTCAAACCGGATGCAACGGAAAAAACGACAGGCAAGAGACACAAATACAAAAATGTGTAGGATGAAGCCAGCAAAGAATGAGACAGAAATATACATACTATTTAATACAGCGCCATCTGTGAGATTTTTTAATACTAACGTGTGTATGAAAGCTCTTGTAGTGAATTTTAATTTAGGATTATACGTGAAATTAAAATATCAATTCACAGAGGGCGCTACCTTACAATTATTTACTAATGACAAAATTTTACATATACTTAAGACGTTTAGGATAATTGTATTTTAATTTTGGAAGGTTTCACTTCTACCACGTGTGAATTGCACACATGTTTTTTTTCCATTCTTTTAAATAGTCTCGATAACATCGACAATCACTTCAAAATAAAATCCTGCTGTAAAAATACTGTTTTATTCAATTTCGATTCCTAAAATTTAAGTTCTTGTGTAAAAAGCTAAATATTTGTTATAGAATTAGCAACTTGTCGTCAATGACTTAAAATATATCACTTACCTTTTTAGCTGACCTTTTGTTTGACTGTATATATTTTTCATTTATATTCACCGATTTCTTCGTAATTTCTGGACCCATTTAAAATATTTTTATTGTTTAAAAGAATATACTTTCAAGTTCCAATGGATTTGTTTAATTAATATATTTCACAGTTACTGAGAGTTACGCTAATAGTGACCTCAGGACATTTAGATACCGTTCTCGTCGAACCCGTCGCTTGTGACGAAGGGCTCGACGAGTAAATTAACCCTCAGGCACAGCCCACTGAGTTTCTCGCCGGATCTTCTCAGTGGGTCGCGTTTCCGATCCGATGGTAGATTCTGCAAAGCACGGCTCTTGCTAGGGTTCGTGTTAGCAACGTCGTCAGGTTTGAGCCCCGTGAGCTCACCTACTAGTTAAGGCTACGCTGATATAGCCCCTCAAGGCTATCAGCTTAGGTAGGAAAAAATAAAAATAGATACCTAATTCATCCATCGTATGCAGAAAACAATTAACATAATTATTTTTTTCTTCAGCTCTACCCAACAACAGGGGAGTCGGTGCCTTCGCGTATCAAGATTCATCAGGCAATAGGTACGGCGGTACATACGGCCTGAAAGACGGGGCTGTCGTCGACAAACAAGGCGACTTTCCTCCAAATTTCCAACCCGAGTCCTTCCAAGACTTGGATTATTTCTTCCCTGAATATTTTAGAAACTTCGAAAACCTGTTACGAGAGTAAGACCAATATATTTATATTCAACTGAGGCTTCAGGTGGTGGTAGCCGGTGGTCGGTAATCAATCTTATAATTTATATAGGGCTTAACTCACGATCGCTATGTTTTGGTTTTTATTTGTCCTAAAACTCAATAGCTCGACTCAACTTGTTGCTTATAGAACAAGCCCGAAAATGGCGGTGATGGAAATAACCAAAGTACTTAATTAATTAAATCGTTTTCTTCATTTCACCCAAAACATTTTATATTATTATTAATTTTAATATATGTTTTTTAGACCATTTTTCAGATTCACCCCCATCAGGACGAAGTCATTCTTTCCATACACACCACTACGTTTCGAACCATTCAGACCATTTCCATCATATCCACAGAGGTAAAATTCAAAAAGTTCTTATTTAAAAATTAGGCATGTTCATTTTCTATATATATATATACATATATATATGTATTACCAATTAACTGGGCTATATTGATTAGTTCTTGCAATTTATCTTTTGTATTCTTTGAGAGATAGATTTTATGTTATTACAGGGCGTTCAGCTCGAACATCGAGGCCCAAAGGCTGGCGTTCGAAGCCGCGCAAAAAGCGTTCGATTTGACATCGAACCAGGCTGGTTATATTCCCGGTTTTGACAGGTTCCCGATATTTAATTTCCCATCGCCCGGATTCACCGACGAACAGTTCCCCGCGATGCAGAACTATCCGAATCAGTTTGGCGCGTTCGCTGGAGCCGCGGCTGGCCCGGGTTTCAGTCACCAAGTTGCTTCCATTAATCCCCCTAATCCGGTAAGCTGTGTTGAAACTTTTTACTTTCGTTGCCTTAAAAGCTGCTTTTGTGAATAGTTGATGATACCACCAATTTAATAGTGAGTGATCATCGTCGATCGCAGATTATAGACTTACTCAGGACACATTGTCGCTGTATAGTGTTGAAGAATCTTCTTAGATACTCAATTAAAGAGAGTGATGTACGTCATAAGGCTCAGATAACACTAAAGGGATCGCCGGATGGTACGTTGCAAAAAAGATCTGTGGAACCACTGTCTTTAACGCAGTGGTGATGAAAGCATGAATCCGGTATTGTAACAGGCAATGCCATGGTAAAATGTATTTAATAAAATACCAAACAAAACGCAGAAGCGTTATCTCTAATACTTGTTTCATTTTCTTCAATTTAGCAATTTGCGTTTATCCATGAATTAATTAGGCAGTATAGGTTATTTATAAGTGTTTATAAGTTACAATAATTAACCTCCAGTCGAATTTGCAGCAAGATTGTCTTGACCTATTTTTTGTTTACTAAATAAGACGTCGAGGACTAAAGGATAAGAGGATGCCCACTGAGTTTCTCGCCGGATCTTCTCAGTGGGTCGCGATTCCGATCCGGTGGTAGATTCTGCGAAGCACTGCTCTTGCTGGGGTTAGTGTTAGCAAATTCTCTGAGGTTGAGCAAGTGAGTTCACTTACCCGTCCGGGCCGGAGCTGGAATAGCCTCAGGCTACAAACGAAGAGGTTGGATAAAAAAGATAAGACGCTTGGTGCGTTCGTATCGAGCGATTCGGCTATGCCGATGTTCGAAGGCTGCGGGCAGATGTACCAATTTTTCTAATGTAATACGTACTTATAAAATTTTCACGAATGGCTTCCACGCTGAAGAAAATAACATCGTATAGGAAAAATGAAATCCGAAAAAAAAATTTAAGGGGGGCAGCCTTTATGCTCTAAAAACTTAAATATAGAACTCATATCTCAAGAGGGTTGGTGGCATTTACGTTGTCCATGTCTATGGGCTTCGGTGTCCACTTAATACCGGTGGGCTGTAAGCTCTTCCATACATAGTAACAATAAAATAATAATAATCGATATCGTAATCTGTATGTGTGATCAAGCCCCGTGATATCATGACCCATTGTTTATTATCCTCGTGAGCATCTTATCCTTGCGATTATCAGACACGTCATCTTTCTGTTAAAATCTAAATAAACAACCAAAGGCGTTGTATAAAAACGTTGCTCCTACCTACATTGACTTTGAAGGACGGTGACTACAAAAGCGGTTGCTAACCATACAATTAGTGTTTTTTTCTAAAGCATTCGTGATATAAGCTCCTCAGAGTTTTATGGATTTTGTAATTACCGTTCAATTGAAAAGTTAAGCCAGATATATGGAGGTAGCATGGAATAAAGATGTAAATTCCATAGTACATGGAATTCTTGTTTAAGACTAGACGATATGTCCTCAGTTACTTATTTATCTATCGCGGTACCTACCCGTGCGGTGCTCCCATTAGTGAAACATTGTTAAATCAATCATTTGGTTAATATTATTTCTTATTATTTAATACTGTTCAGGGGCTTATCGACAATATGATAAAGGCTTTTAAAATTTTGCGTTTCTGTCGAAACCACGTAACTACTTGAGGAGGGAATAATTAAAGTAGGTACTAATTTTTTTTATTGCCTAGGTGGGTGGACAAGCTCACAGCGAACCTTAACTGGTCACCGGGGCCCATAGATATCTACAACGTATTTGCCGCCACCCACCTTGAGATATGAGTTCTAAAGTCTCAGTATAGTTACAACGGCTGCCCCACCCTTTAAACCGAAACGCATTACTGCTTCACGGCTGAAAGAGGCAGGGTGGTGGTACCTACCCATGCAGACTCACAAGAGGTCGTACCACCAGTAATTACACAAATTATAATTTAGCGGGTTTGATTTTTATTATAGTAAGCGGCACGTAAGTTGGCAAGGTTTTGGTGTAGTGGGGGTAATGTCGCGCATAGTGCACATTCCAACAAAAAAATTGTCACTTTTATTGCCCGCATATAATTTAATTTTATTTTATTTAATTTTTTATTTGCCATAATTTGTATTTAAGCCGGTTTGTTTAGAAGGAAGTTAAAGAAAAGAGAGGAATTCGTGAAGTGTATTAGGTGTTATAAATAAAACACAATTATAAGTTAAGAAGTTTATTTAAAAAAATATACTTAATATTAAAAATTATGTGTCGCCGTCGTCACTATCATTTTCTAATATGCTACCCCTTGGATTAAATTTATGGTAGCACCTGAGCTGGTGGAAGGAGTTGGCTCCTCATCGTTGACATAACGAAGAGTCGCTGTCGTCACTGGCGTAAATAATAAAACGCTCAGTGACTGAATCGACTATATGGTCATTGGTGTTTGGTCCTGGCATTGCAAACAAATTTAAAAGAATAACACTCGTAACAAAAACTAAATTTAAAACAATAATAACAACTCGTAACAAAAACTCAATATAAACAAAGGGTTCCTACAATTTAGTAGGCGCATGTGTAATCAGGAGCGAATGGAACGTGGACGCGGTGCAGGAGGGGAGGGTCGACTGATCCACCAATTGCGCGCTCGGAACGGTGCTACGTCTTTCCCCGCGTCCCGCTTGACAACCAAAGAGACCTAAAAAACGACTTCTGCGCATCTAACGACTCTTACCAAGTTACGTGCCGGGGACTATACACGATGTTATTTCTTCACCGTAAAAGTCAACCGTGAACATTTGTTAAGTACGTATTTCATTCGAAAAATTGGTACCCTCGTTGCATCGCTCGATATGAATACACCGGACATCTTATCCTTTATAAGGCCACGACGACTTCAATAATTTAATTGTAATGATATTATTATGTCCGTCTTGTACATATAATATAATATAGCGTAGCTACTCCTCTTTGAACAGTTTCGGCAATGACAATCACGTATTTTTTTAATTGCTTTGTTCCATATCTTCGTTTTGCATTGTGTTAAGTAATTACAAAATTATTCGTAAGCACACAAAAACGACACGTAACTTCATATTAATCGCTGCAGATAAATGTAATCTATCTTCTGTGTGTGTTGTTCAATTGTTTATTCGCATACTACCTTTTTAATCATAAATAGGATTTCGACACGGACACGCCGAATAGTCGTGACTAAAACGTTTATTAAATTTAAATGAGCTTCATTTTTATAAACATATTTAATACGATTTAAACGTAGCATATAAATATTAATCGTGGGTTATTCTCGTCTCATTAGATCTGTGAAAAAGTTAATTGGCAGTATAACGTATTGTCCTGTTTAAAAACATATGTCCTGTAAAAAAGTTATATGTCCTGTATGTTTTTTTTCGAGGTACCTATTATGTTTTGTTCAGCTCGATTAAGATTTTACGTCAACTTGAATAATCTTTTCAGAACCAAAGATGTTTATATATCTTGTTGTTTCGGTAATATTTAAGATAAGTTTGCATGTGCCAATGTAAAATTAAATCAGGCTATAAAACATGCTGGTGGTAGGACCTCTTGTGAGTCCGCACGGTTAGGTACCACCGCCTTGCCTATTTCAACCGTGAAGCAGTAATGCGTTTCGGTTTAAAGGGTGGGGCAGCCGTTGTAACTACACTGAGACCTTAGAACTTATGTTTCAAGGTGGGTGGCGCATTTACATTGTAGATATCTATGGGCTCCAGTAACCACTTAGCACTAGGTGGGCCGTGAGCTCGTCCACCCATCAAAGCAATAAAAAAAAACATGCAAAGAACTAAGCGCGTCGAAGGCGACAAGTATATTTGATGGTGAATCAGTCATGGCTGCTCATGAATATCGGTAATAGCAGGAGCATGGCCAAGCCCTTCAATTGTCTCAATGTCTTTTACGAAATATTGACTTATATCTTTTTTTTTCCTACCTAAGCTGATAGCATTGAGAGGCTATTTCAGCATAACCTTAAGTAGTAGGTGAGCTCACGGGGCTCAAACCAGAGTGATGCTAACACTGACCCTAGCAAGAGCAGTGCTTCGCAGAATCTACCACCGGATCTGAAACGCGACCTACTGAGAAACTTAAACTCAGTGGATTGGACTTCTATCAGACATCGAACGTAGCATCAGTAGCTTCAGAACTCACAACTAGAATGACGCACCTCCTATGCAATTTAAACACTACAGTGTCTTAAATTTTGGAATTTCTCTGATAATCATTTATTTTGACAGAACATGCCCAATGTGAACAAGTATACGAGCTATTCTGGTGCTCAGCCAAACGACGGTAATCAATTCGTCAGTGTCTCGTCTTCTTCGTACTCCTCGTCTGTGAACGACAACGGAGAGGTCAAGAATCACAGAGCTGCAGAAACAGTTGTCAATAACAACGGAAAAGTCACCAAGTATAAAGTCGAAAACTAAACTCACAAGATCTCAATTAAAATAAAATTTCTCTATGCAAATTTTCAGCGATTCACGTTAATTTTCAAATGTTCGCATAATAAAATATCTACTACATACCAGCTTGATTACATTTTGGTTTTTAAATTTTCAAAAATAATTGCTAAACATTTTCTAATATCCAATTTTATTCAATATAATATTTAATTATAAAATTACACGTTCGAATTTTTTTTTAACTGATCGTTTGGATTTGAGAACCCAAAGCTGAAAATTGATTTATAGGAATGAGATAAGAACTAATAATGTTAAACTATGAAAAAACTATAACGATTTAAACGACCTTAACGCTGTTGTTGTTGTCAAAATCTCGGCCGAATTAAAGTATTTTTGTTATGTATTTCAAATTGGTAAAATATAATGTAATTAAATATTTTGAGTCTTTGTTTTATTGTAACAACAAGTATTCTTGCCTGAATTACTTTTTCTGTATAACAAAAGAAGATCCAATTCCTTAAACTGTTCTATTATTACAGTTTTGAACACGACTTTGGGTTTTGCAATACTGTCGGCATCGTTCTTAGAAGAACACAAGAAGCTTAATTTGATACAGTTTTAGAGCAATTGTCTTTCAATGATATTTCGAAGATGGTTTTTTTATGGCTTAGATGGGCGGACGAGCTCACAGCCCACCTGGTGTTAAGTGGTTACTGGAGCCCATAGACATCTACAACGTAAATGCGCCACCCACCTTGAGATATAAGTTCTAAGATCTCAGTATAGTTACAACGACTGCCCCGCCCTTCAAACCGAAACGCATTACTGCTTCATGGCAGAAATAGGCAGGGTGGTGGTACCTACCCGCGCGGACTCACAAAAGGTCCTACCACCAGTAAATGGTGGTAATGGTAATTTAATCTGGCATAAAAATTTATCTTACAAAGCTATTTTATCGTGTGCCAGTAAAATCTTACTAAGCTAACTCCTTTTTAGATATAGACATTCGGTCACTTCATTCTTGTGTCAACCAACCAGAAATCGAATCACATGGACTTAGATTAATTTATTACTATAAGTAAAATTTGTATGTACAATAGGTTATAGTAGGAGCATCTACAGAAATCTAAGACCTCATTTTGCTTCAACAGGACTTAGTGTATGTACATTGTTATATTCTCCATCCATATGCGGTTCGGGTTGTTGACACCTATTAATAACACCTCAACCATTCTTAAAGAGCGTCAAACGCTATTTGAATTCTTAATCGTGGGAATCGCTTCTATTGAAATATAACCGCTACTGTTATTTTGAAAAGCCTTGTAAATTCATTGTTTTTGTGATAGTGCGCAATCTTTCTGACATTTCGTTATTAATACGTTTGCTTGAATGGAATACGTTTAAATAGATAAACATCAAGCCTTTGTTCTATTTGGAATATATTAAAGCCTTTTTTGTAGTTGTAGCTGAGTTCAGACTAAAACCTTTTTTCAGGTGTTTGAATCACATCCTTTGGTTAATATTAAATTGAATAATTTACAATTGCAATGCACCCAATGAAATCTATAAGTAAGGCAAATATATTTAGAATATAATAGTTTCAATCAATTGTAAATTTATGAAAAATGTGAACAATTCTGGTTCAATAGCATTCCGCTCATATTTATCTCATAGCCGTTCGAACTTAGAATGAATTTTATGATCAATCTATGCTTTGTTACCAACGAATCCCAGTACTTTGTATTATTTTAAATAAATAGATTTTAAAACCACTTTTTGTGGCATGTATTTTCCAGTTTCAAACTATACCGACCAATGAAAATAAGTAACTTTTTATTTCTGACATTCACTTGATAATAAGTGCTCTTAACAAAACGAACACGTAACGGATTTAAATGACTTAATCCATATTTTTAAGTACTTTAGAGGAATATTTATTTAAGACAGCTGTAAGATCTCACTACGCCATATACATATATGCATATTGAGATTATGCAATATATATTTTTTAAGCAGATTCGTAACAGTATCGTTCAACAAAACAAAAATCTAGTATTAGGATGTTTGGAGTCCACTTCTTTATCTAAAAACTCAAAGGCCGTAGCTAGGATTTGAGCATTATTTTTGTAGGGTGCAGGTGAAGAAGAGCTCTAATATAAGCATGTTGCAAAAACTTTTGACTTTATTTCCTTACTATTACTTTTGTGTGCTCATTAAACAGAATCTGTTACTTCAAATAGTTCTGTGGTTTTGTTGATAGGTTTTAAGAAAACAGGACATCTGCTAGTATCCAACAAGCTTAAATTAGTTAATGTGTTTTTAAAATTTTGCTGGGAAGTCATCTATGCTGCTGTCTTCGACAGGTTGTTATTTTCAACGCAATCCATTTTAAGACAAAATTTCAGGCTTCAAGATGGGTACTAACCACAGTATACACGACGTGTGACATTCTAATCTATTTGTAAATCTGTTTATCGAGACTACAATATGTATTCAATGCATCAGCATAGAAAATGATATCACACACATTTAACATGTGCATTTATTCAACATCCATATCGATCTATAATACAAAAGGAAATACGAAACTGCTTATCAAATAGTCACTAATAGTGCTTAGTACTTGGACTATTCAAAGGTCTTTTAAAATATTTCTTATTTTCACACAATACTATATTTCAAGAAAGAATTTTAATCACTTTTGAACCACAGTCTTCGGAGAAAAACAATAAGATGAAGGAAATAAGGATAACCGAACATAAATAATAAAAATACTCAGTGCACAATTACGTACATACGACTCATGATGTACCTGTAGCTATACAACCTCTGCCGCATCTCAAGGTCGACGAGATAAAATCGGTAAGGTTTTTTTTTCTACAAACCATTACGGATGCGAGATGAACAAAAACAATGGGACGCGTCCATTAGTTTAATTTCGCCAATTTACCGTCTAACTTAATCTTTGTTGTTGTTGTTTCTTGTTTCCAATTATTTCTTTGCTGTGCACATCCTCCTAAACCCAGTCCATTCGACAGCTCCATGCATTTCTTACAATAAAAATCTTTGACGCTATCTTCAGCTATTCTTCTATGCAATTTATTCTCATATGCTGCTCTATCAGCATTTCTACCGATGTTGTAAGGCACGCCCTGATTCCAATTTATGTTATTGTAAATGCTTGAAGGTCTCCACTGCGACGGATTCATAGCTACACTAGGATATAAATCGTATTGATCTCGTATGTTACGATTAACGAGCGTCGATTGTGGATATTCTGTATTTTTATATCTTGTATCAGGCGCTCTAATTTGAGTAGTCTCAACAGCTTTGTAACCGGCTATGATTGGTACTTCACCGCTATCATCTTTCTTTTTATAGTTATTGTCGTATGACAACGTCTTGATTATACCCCTATCTGTAAGAATAAAGAGTAATGTGAAATATTACAGGTTTAGGAAAACGTTCCGACGTTTGAAGTCGTCGTGGCCTAAAGGATAAGACGTCCGGTGCATTCGTGTGTAGCGATGCACCAGTGTTCGAATCCTGCAGGCGGGTACCAATTTTTCTAATGAAATAGGTACTCAACAAATGTTCACGATTGACTTGAAGGAATAACATCGTGTAATAAAAATCAAACCCGCAAAAATTATAATTTGCGTAATCACTGGTGGTAGGACCTCTTGGGAGTCCGCACGGGTAGGTACCACCACCCCGCCTATTTCTGCCGTGAAGCAGTAACGCGTTTCGTTTCGAAGGGTGGGGTAGCCGTTGTAACTATACTTGAGGCCTTAGAAACTTATATCTCATGGTGGGTGGCGCATTTACGTTGTAGATGTCTATGGGCTCCAGTAACCACTTAACACCAGGTGGGCTGTGAGCTCGTCCAACCATCTAAGCAATAAAAATAAAAAATAAAATGTTAGAAAAGGAATCATTAAGTTATTAGGATCAACAAGTAAAAGACCAAAATGTAATCTTGGAATTGGGTTAATTTTTATTTTAAATCTAATTTATCGATTTCCTTTTCAGTTCAAGCTAAGCGCGTTCACTAAAAACATTTAGAGTACGCAAACAATTGGGTATCAGGAAAACAGATTTGAACCTAATCAAATTAAGAAAAAAATAACCGAAATAACTAAAAAACTTGACGTTACTGTATTTTGTCTTAATAGGCAAATGAGCATAGGACTTAAACGATGATGAGTCGTCAACGATGTCCATAGACATCAACAGCGCCAAAAACACAGCTGAACTGCTGCCTACCAAAGACCTCAAGAGCTTTAAGGTTTTAAGTGTATGGTCAAATTTTACCAATAATTTTCTAACCATCCTCAAAACCGTGAATTCCTCTTCTGTTGTTATTCCTCAGTTTAGTTGATACTATAATAGTGTGCTTTACTTCAACGTCTTCGTCTTCTGCTTTACTTGAATTCGTGACAGCTGAGGTTTCCTCTCCGCTAAAGTTCAGTTTTGTTGAAACACCATGACTGGTACCGGAGAAAACTAAAAACAACGTAACACACAAATGCTTAAAATAAAAATTACCGTAGGTACTTCATCGAAAGATTAACGAAATATTTCACATTTTTTTATTATTTTTTTATTGCTTATATGTGTGGACGAGCTCACAGCCCACCTGGTGTTAAGTGGTTACTGGAGCCCATAGACATCTACAGCGTAAATGCGCCACACGCCTTGAGATATAAGTTCTAAGGTCTCAGTATAGTTACAACGGCTGCCCCACCCTTCAAACCGAAACGCATTACTGCTTCACGGCAGAAATAGGCGGGGCGGTGATACCTACCCGTGCGGACTCACAAGAGGTCCTACCACCAGTAATTACGCAAATTATAATTTTGCGGGTTTGATTTTTAATACACGATGTTATTCCTTCACCGTAGAAGTCAATCGTCAACATTTGTTAAGTACGTATTTCATTAGAAAAATTGGTACCCGCCTGCGGAATTCGAACACCGGTGCATCGCTAGATACGAATGCACCGGACGTCTTATCCTTTAGGCTACGATGACATTTGTATTATCGGTTTTTATATCGACTTCGTGTGTGTATTTGATGTTCGTACATTATACTTTCTACTAGTTACAATGATACGCATCTTAGTTAAATTTGTATCTCAGTTAAATTAGCTCATTGAATCAACAAAATCACATATGTACCCACGTCAAAATGTAGATAGCTGTAGGACAATAAAGTGCGACCTTTACACGACACATTATGTGAACATTTTTACGAGGCATTAGAATCAATGCCATTACGTTATCTATAGATGGATACTCACTTACATATGGTACGTCTTTTGGGTGAATTTGGCAAAATTAAAATTGGCAAAAGCAAAATTATAATTTGCGCAATTACAGGTGGTAGGACCTCTTGTGAGTCGCACCGGTAGGTACCACCACCCTGTCTATTTCTGCAGTA